GGAAAACAAATTAAAATGAATTTGAATAAAGTCTAATACAAAAATGTTTTGTAACACGGTATAACTATACCAAAAAAAAATTAAAATTTATTAAATTTATAATGTTAACTAGTGAAAAAATTTGAACCAATCCTTTAGATTTAATAGTTTGTTCTTAATTCTAAATGTTTAAATTGAGTTAAATAAGAATTCAACTTTTATTAATTACTTAAAAAAAACTCTTCTTCCCCATAATTTTTCATGTTCAAAAAAAAAAAAAAAAAAAAAAACTAGTGAAAAAATTTTGTGAAGCTAGACAAATAAACATTTACCACCTCCCCCGACTACACACCTCACTTGCAAATCTATAAACAAATCCTCCCCAAGATTCCAATCGTCCTAATTCATGTATTAATAATTAATTCATCTCTCTCAATTCCCGTGTGTTGACTATCGATTTTAGTTAATCCTTTTTCTTTTTCTTTTTTTTTTGAAAACGTAAATACACCTCTTCTCTTTTAATAGGCCAATTTGCAAAAAGTATTAGTAGAGGATGACTATCTTCTCGTTTCGATTTCACTACTAAAGCCAATCTTCGTTTTTGCAATTTCTTCTCATTTTGAGAATCAAGTCTTGAGATTTTTTTTTTTTTCTTCTGGGCCTGAATTCTTTTTCAACATGGATGAGGTTGAGATTCCTGCACATTTTCTCTGTCCGATTTCGCTTCAACTAATGAGAGATCCGGTGGTAGTGGCCACCGGAATAACATACGATCGAGACAACATAGAGAAGTGGCTGTTTTATTGCAAGAACAAAACATGTCCTGTAACGAAACAGGTTTTGTCTGATTCGGATCTCACTCCAAACCACACCCTCCGTCGCTTGATCCAATCTTGGTGCACCCTCAACGCCTCCCATGGAATTGAAATAATCCCTACACCAAAGCTTCCAGTCAACAAAACCCAGATTGTAAAACTCCTCATCAAAGACGCAGAAAAGTTCCTTGATCATAACATGCAGCTTAAATGTTTGAGAAAACTGAAATCAATCACCCTTGAAGGCGAAAGAAGCAGCAGCTGCCTTGAATCTGCGGGCGCAGTAGAGTTCTTGGTTTCGATCATTAAGAGCAATAATCATTCCATCTCACAAGAGCTTAATGATTCTTTGTCGGATGAGTTTATGAAGGCCAGCGATGAGGCATTGAGCATTCTTAATCAACTCCAGATATCCGATTGTTGCCTGAGGAAAATTATCAACTATGACTGCGGTTTTGTGGAGGCCTTAGTTGGAGTCTTGAAGCAAGGAAACTACCAATCTCGAGCATATGCGACAATGCTATTGAAGAACGCATTTAAGGTGGCAGATTCAATCCAATTGACCAGCACCACAAGGGAATTCTTTGCAGAAATTGTTCGTGTTCTACGTGATCAGATCTCGCAGCAAGCCTCCAAGGCGGCATTGAAGATCCTTATACAACTCTGTACTCCTCGGAGCAGGAACAGGATCAAGGCGGTTGAAGGCGGCGCGGTCATGGTCCTCATAGAGCTCATTCTAGAAGCATCCGAGAACAGAGCTTGTGAGCTGAAGTTGATCTTATTAGATCAGCTGTGCAGGAGTGCGGAGGGACGGGCGGAGCTGTTGAAGCACGGGGCGGGGCTAGCGGTGGTGTCGAAGAAGATACTGAGGGTTTCTCGAGTGGCAAGTGACAGTGCGGTGAAGATTCTCTGTTATATATGCAAGTTCTCTACAACTTGTAGGGTTGTTCAGGAGATGTTGGAGGTGGGGGTTGTGGCGAAGTTGTGTTTGGTGCTTCAGGTGGATTGTAGTTACAAGACAAAGGAGAGGGCGAGGAAGATTCTCCGGCTGCATTCTAAGGTCTGGAGGAATTCTTCCTGTATTCCTTCACATTTGTTGGCTTCTTATCCATCTTCTTAGATTTTCTGTAGATATATGAGAGGAAATTTTGGGATGGGAAAATTAATTAATCAATCCTCATTTGCATGCGTTAAAAGTGGATCCAATATCAAAATGTGCATGTAAGGGGCATGAAATTGTTGTCCTTGGAGTTCTTGATTATGTTCATTTCAGACGAATAAATATTACACTAAACTCTCTATTTACATCATATTTATTATTTTTTTTACAATTAACACTTTTCATAATTTTTATTTTTGATTAACTTCCTTCATAATTTGAAATTTATAAAAAAAAAAAAAAATTAAATTACCAAAAAAATGAGTCTAAATAAGTGATTTAATCATTAATTTTTGACTTTTTTTCTGAATTTTTAAATTATAAAGAGTATTAATTAAAAATAAAAATTCACACATGACCCTTCGAATCAATTAACAGTCTGTCAACTTGAGATGCATTCCTCTTCTTGCATGAAACCTGCCCTTGACAACTTGATAAAAAATAAATAAATAATTCATAAAAATATTGCTAAAATATAAATATAGTGTACACCCATAGTTTTCGGTCGCACTTTTTGGGGAAAATGTACAGAGGGAAATAAATGCTTTGCACGAATATTAAGCAACTGCAAATTTGAAGACTTGCAATTTCAAGGATTTCAGATACATGATTACACTATTTCAGAAAAAAAAGTTACATGATTGTACTGGACTAACATGTAGAGGTGTATGTGATGAGAATATAAGATCATAAATATATATAAATGTTAAGACTCATCATAACTACTCTAATCATGAATTAGAATAACAGCAGAACGATATGTATTATCCATTATGCAAAGAGACTGTAAGAGAGTCATGCTTTTGCTGATTTCAGATATCCATTTTGTTGTGATTTGCACATGATTAAACATGGTAGGTGATTTGCACATGATTAAACATGGTAGGTGATTTGCACATGATTAAACATGATAGGTGATTTGCAAAAGGTTAAAGCCAACTATAGTCCTCGTACTTTGTGAAAACGTTCATTATCATCCCTCTATAATGAAATATTCAATATCGTCCCTCTACTTTCCTTATAGTATAAATGTCATCTCTCTACTACACTTTTTTTTGTTAAATACCCTTTTTGGTCCCTCTACTATTGAAAAAAACCCTTTTTGATCCTTATTGTTTAAAATCTGATCTATTTTTAGTCCATTCATTAAATTTTTGCTCATGTGGCTCGTTAATTAACAAAATCAATTGACGTGGAAATTACATGGATAAAATATAAATACATATAAGCACTTTATATGAATATTTTAAGCCACTAATACAAATTAAAAATTTTACTTCCTAATTCATGAATTAAAACATAATTAACTTTAATTTCTTCATCTTCTTCTTTCTCTTCATCCTTATCCTCCTTCTCATCCTCAGCATCATCTTCACCATTCTCTTTGCCATCTTTTTGAGTTGGGGAACGCAAATCTGGGTTCCACAAAGAACCCAACTTCTGGGTTTCACAAAGAACCCAACTTCTGGGTTTCAACCTTTTTTTTTCTTTAACGTATCTATCTTCCATAAAAAGAACCGAATGAAACTAAAGTTTCATGTTCAATTTTGAATTTGAGACGTTAAGTTCTCTACAGGTGATAATAAGTTTATTTTGTTGTGGTCATGTTGCTATTAACTTCACAACTTGGTTTATCCATGACCTAGGTTCAACTAGAAGAAAGAGTTGAAAATCTGAAATTAGTGAATGAGTAAGGTCGTTCTCCTTTCCAGAAAAAAAGTTAGAGTTTACAATATTGAAAAATCATTTTAATTAGTAATTAATTTTTATTTTTATCAATGAAAATTTTCCTATGAATTCTCAATTATATCTTGATCAATTTCACATATAAAGGATTGATCATAAACAAAAAACAAGAATTTTGAAAGATGGAAGATGATATCTGAGGAGGGAATTTGAGAAAAATGGAGAATTTTAGAATGTGGGTCTCATCATTTAAGGTTTTTTTTTTTGTTTTCAGGCAAGGAGAGTGACATGGAGGGGTATTATTAAGTCCACGTAGGCACTTTTATACTATGTAATAGCCATGTAAGATGTTTCTATTAAGATAACGTACCACATGAGCAAAAATTTAATGGAGGGATCAGAAAGGGATCGGATTTTAAACAGTAAGAACCATAAAGGGGATTTTTTCGATATAGGGACCAAAAATTGGCTTTTTTCAATAGTAGAGAGACAAAAAAAGGGGTATTTAACCTTCTTTTTTTTTGTTTGATGTCACCTTTAATTAGATGCCATCCACATTTTCACTAACTTTGACAATTAATTATCCAATAGTCAAACATTCAACTTTTGTTTATTAATTTTTTGTCCATCTAATGGGGCTAATGAGACCTTTTTTTTTTTTTTTTGGTTCTATATTACTCTTTCTGGCTTTAATTTGTTATTGGAACTATCAATAAGCTAATAGAGGATATGTCACAACAAAAAAATGATAACAAAGGAATTGGTGCAAATAGGCAGCAAAAAAAATTTTGTTCCCACTTGGTGTCATCACGTGAGTGGATATTTTAACCCACTCTTTGCTTATTTCTCAAATTATGAAAAGCTCAATGTACAAGAATCACATAGTACAAAATACAGGAATCTCTAAAAAGGTAAAGACATTGTGCCTAAAGCAAGCAAATTGTCAAGGATTGTGAAGTCTTTCAAAAGGTAATAATCAATCAACTGATAATCTACGTTTGAATAATTTTTTGGGTTAGGTTTCAATAACCATAGTAGAATTTGTTGAGTTATTCTTTCTGAGATATGGTCCCAAATGCTTGTAGGTCTTATGAAACGACTGATTGTACTAAATATGATATATACCTAAACTATGGGGGCACATTTATTAGGAACCCAACGCTTTGGTATTTTTGTGGTACTTTTCATAGCATATGAGTCAAACCAAGTAGTTGTCAACCTACTACTTTTAAATAGAAATTACAAGGGTTAAACATAGACATAGTTGACTTGATGAGGATGGCCTTGTGTTAATTGTTTTTTGATGAGTCAATTGATGATATGTTCCAACTACTAATGTTTAATGTGTATATAGATATGTATGTTGAACATGAATACCAAATTCAAAAACATGTGACAAATGGCGGGCCCTCCCATGGAAATAATGGTTCAGTGAATGATGCTGTAATGGTTGGTGAGACAATGGCATTTAATGTAGATTGCCATACATTAAGGATTCAAGTTGATTTAGCGGACGAAAATGCTTTAGGTTATGTTACCCAAGAATAACAAATAGTTGTAGAACATAATAGAATTTCGGAGATGCAAATGGAAGAATTGAAGAAGATTTGCTAAGTGGTAATGAGTACATTGATTTTCCTTGGTTGACCTACAATGAGGATGAGGAATGGCAATTTGCAAGGAATCAATGTAAGGATACTCTTAAGTTATATAGAGATGCTATTGGAATAGAAGAGGCTTTCGTTGATCTAAGTGAAGCATATGTTGAGGAAGGAGTTGGTAATTCAATTCAATTGATTCTAATGATGAGGTTAGTTTTGTTACAACTAGTGATGATAGTGAGGTAGAAGAAGCAAGAAAAAGGCATTCACTGAACAAGGTGTTTGATGAATCAACAATCATTCCACAATTTGAATAAGGACGATATTTTTGAGCAAGAAGCAGTTTAGAGATGCAGTTCTTACACAAGCTATTTAAGTGCGAAGAAAGACAGTGTTGAAGAAAAATGATAAAACAAGAGTCAAGGCTATATGTGCAAGTTAGAGGTGCAATTAGACTTTGCTACTTTGAATGGTAGGACAAGAAGTTGGATGATAAAGACATACAAGGATGAGCATACTTGCAAATATAGTTTGAACAATAGAAGGGTTTGATTAAGGACTATAGTTAGACAGTTCATTAAGACGAGGTATTTTAGCTACTAAAGCAACCCAAATTAATATCTGACAATCAATTAAAAAAGAAATACATCTTGAAATCACAATAAGTCAAGTTAGAAGGGCAAAACAACTTATTATCAAAGAGTTTGAAGGCAATTGTGACAAGGAATATAGTAGGTTATATGATTATAGATTGGAACCTTTGAAGAAGAATCCCAACTCTATAGTTGCACTTGATGCAAGAAGGCCTACATTAGATTCTACACCAATGTTCTTAAGATTCTATTTATGCTTTGTTGCATTGAGGGAAGGATTTATAGTTGGTTGTAGACCAATAATCGGTCTAGATGGTGCATTTCTCAAAGGTCTTTACAGGGGTCAATTACTATCAACCATTAAAAGGATGCAAATTATCAAATGCGTCTGATTGCTTGGGCCATTGTCGAGAGCGAAAGCACAAGCACATGGACATGGTTCTTGAAGTATTTGAATTTTGATCTCAAAATTGGTGATAGATAGTATTTCACCTTTATATCTAATTAGCAAAAGGTAATTTTAAGTGTTATATGTTATTTTTTGATTAATTTTTAATGCTTGGGAAAATAGTAGCCATTTTCCTTTATTTTATAGGACCTAATTAATGCAATCTAGAAATTGTTCCCTAAAGCACATCATAGAAGGTGTGCAAGGCATATTTATGCAAATTTTAGAAAGGATCACAAAGTAAGGCACTGCAAAGATGGTTTTGGATCACTACAAAAACCATAAATGAAGTAGAATTTAGGAGGAGCCTAGAATAGATCAATAAATTGAAGCATGTAGCAAAAGAGAGACTAATGAAGCTGGACCCCAAATTTTGGTGCAAAGCCTTCTTTAATATTGATGCAAAATGTGATGCGGTGACAATAATATGAGTGAAACTTTCAATGGTTTCATTCTAGATGCAAGGCATAAGGGACCTCTCTCACTACTAGAGGATCTTAAAAGAAAGTGGAACAAAAAGGAATATTGAAAAAGTTGGAATTTGCTGACAAAAAGTTTAAAGGTCAATTTAATCCAAAGATTTGCAAAGAGATTAAAGAACACAAAAATAAAATGACAAGATGCCATATCAAATCACAAGCAAGATGGCATTATGAAGTAGAAGAACAACTATATTCTTTTCTAGTCAATGTTCATGAGTGTAATTGTAGTTGTAAAGTTTGGCAACTCAATGGTATTCTTTGCCGGCATAGAATGCTTGTTATCCAACATAGGGGTAAGGACTATGAAGATTATGTGCACCCATGTTATAAAAATGGAGCGGCTAGCCCATTTTGCCTAAAAATTACAAAGTTTGGCTTCTTGGACATGTATGTTACTGTTCATTTATTAATGGCATTTTAAAGGGTTTTTTTTATTTTATTCTCTTAGAACACAAATAAAAGTGTAATAAATATATCTTTTAATTAATTTTTATTGAAAGTATAAATATTAACTTCAGTTTAATCAATTAACCAATTAAAGTAATTTACATGTCATTAATGTTAAAATATATATCAATTTTTATAATTTTTTATGTGAATTAATTATAAAAAGTGTATTTATTATATATTTAACTTTTACCAAGGCACATGTTAGATAATCTCTTTTTAAAAAAACAATTATGATACCCCTAAATTAGTTTTATGTAGTTTTAAATTAATTCCTTTATAAATAGTTTTAAATGCACACTTTCGTATTAATTTAATATATTTTTATTTTTGTGATTTTTCAAGAGCTTATGGACTCCCTAAATCCAATAATAATAAATAAATAAATAAATAACTAATTTTGCAATTCTGGCAAAGGCATGTAATCTAATTTCGATCCCTAAAAATCAACATTAATTAAATATTGGTCAACAGAAGGAATTGAACGTAATTCGTCCTTAATCAGGTGATTCCATCGGTGAAAAAGAGAGAGAGAGAGATTAATGCATTGGACTTGAATACCATCGCTCGCTCTCTCTCAACAATTACAGAGAGCGCGGCCCCAGAATCCCAGGCGTGATTCACATTTCAAGCATTGAGCAATGCATGCATATGTGTTGTACAACGCAAAAAAAATAAAAGTTTATTTTGAATGTCAAATGTTTGAATGAATGTCGGCGACGGCTAAGGTAGTCAATTAAAAACAGGAAACTTCCACCAAAAAGGACAATTATATGCTCACGTTCTTTGAATTCTCAAAGTCAAACTTTCCTGCTCCTAGGACACATCACTAATACAAGACTAAGAGGAGATAAGATAAGAAAAAACCATATTACTTGTTGACAATAACAAATAAAAACAATATCAATACTTTATTAATCTAAATACAAAGTATTCAATCAACGTTGAGTAACTTACTGGTCATCTTCTTTAATTGAAAATAAAAAATTTTAAATTTGAATAGCATGACATGTGGATGAAATAAAATAAAGAATAAAAGATAGCTGTCTCTAATTATACAATCAAGATAAAAAATATATATATATATATAAAGGGTTCAATTTTATTTAAATAAAATTTTTAATTTGAGTTTTATAAATAAAAAAAATATATTAAAAGAGTTTTTTTTAACAAGATTTTATATAACTTATTCTAAATTAATCAAAATTTTATATAATTTTTAGACAATGACGGATTAATACACACAAAAAATAAAAAATAAAAACAATTCAAATAAATATGAATTAAATTCATCTGAATTGTATAAATAAACTTACATTTTATCAAAATTATTATCCTTTAATGAAAGAAAAGAAAATGATTCACCAACTATCTTATTTTATAAGGATCTCATCATAATAATTGTAATTAATTCTTTTTACCTTGTAAACATGTGAACTATGTACAACTTATCTATTTACATGTAATTAAGACTTAAATTATATAAAATTGTATCTGTATCAATTTTATAAGGAAGGAAAGAACACTAATTTCGTGAAATTCATCCCTTAGGGGTGCACGGCTGTAGATTTCCAAATCCTGTTGTATAGCTTATACAACGATGTGTGTTTGAAAAAAAAAAAAAAAAATTCACCATATCCTAGTGCTATCTCTGGTACCTTGTTAAGAGATAAACAGCAATACAAGGAGAATCGTTCCAAACACTAGAATGCAGCCTCAGAGTTTCCCTGGCTCTCTCTTTCAAATGGGCAGCACAGTCTGCCTGAATCACCATGCACAGCTTCGTTACAGCTGCGACTGTCAACATTTCCAAAAGAACTTCATCTGTTGCAGAAAACATCGAGATTGATGAGAGTATCTGAACTCCTCGTTCATCCACAGCTGGAGAAACTCTAAGGATCCTTTTGGACACCATTGCTATGCCACCAGCATGGCTTAGAAATTGAGCTCTCCCTTCCGCACATGAACACAATTTGGCCAGGAGATTGAATATGAGTTCAGACATGTTCTTGTCGGGTTTTTCTAGCTCGAGTTCAATGAGTTGGAACACTGTATTGTCCTCCACAATCTTCAATCTGTTTCTCCCCCAAGGACATGCCTCCGCTAATATTTGCAAGGCTGATTTGGTAGCTTGCTGAGAGATTCTCTTCCTAAGGAACCCTGTAATTTCTTTGAAAAACTCTGGTTTCAATCTTTCCAGGAGTCTTGTCTTTGCAACTTCCATCACCTGCTTCAACACCAGCAATGCTTTCGTCTTCACAACAACTTGATCACTTCCAATTTCAGATAATCGAAGAACCCATGTTAATGAATCAATGAAATCATGGTTTTCATTCACAAGACCTTTAATTTCGTCCGATTGAGACCAAGTGAGATGAAGAATACTCAAAGCTTCCTCAAGAACAGAGATCACTCTGCCTTCCTTGAAACACCTTATCATGAACAAAGCCATACCCTTAGCAACGCCAGCTCCCTCCATGCATTTCCTGTTCCTCTCATTCTCCTTGGCTAAAGCTTCCAGCTTTTTCACAGCAATTACACACAAGTGATCAACCCCAAGATCTCCAATAAGTCCAAGAACGTGACTCTTTTTGAGAGGAGATTTGGGTGTTGGAATTGTGTCAATCCCATACTTGGCATTTGCAATACACCACGCCTGGATTAGCCTTAGCAGGGTATGGTTTGGTGTCAAATCAGTGTCTCTTGGCAGCGGCTGCTTCGTCACGGGGCACGTCGTTTTCTTGGCCGTCTTCAACCATTGTTCTATGCTTTCACGGTCATATGTAATCCCGGTCAACACCGTAACAGGGTCCTTCATGATCTGAAGAGATACAGGACAGAGGAAATATTGAGGTACTTCAATTTCTTCCATTGATAAAATCCTCCAAGAAAAAAACCAAAAAAAGACAGGGGAAACTTTAGAAATGTGAGTGTAAATTGAGATATGGTGAGAGAAAAGAGCATATCTTATAAATAAGGTATTGGATGAGGGATAATATTGCAGGTAAATTAAATGTGCGATTCTTTTCTCCACGGTCATACTTTCCATGGTCAACCCACGAGGAGAGTAACCTATTAATCACATTGGAAAGTTTTTTTCTTCTCTAGTTTGTTGACTGCCACATGACAGTGATTTAGTGGTGCGTTTGGGGCGTACAAGACAAGGTGGACCCAGGTGGGTCGAAAAGGGGAAGTCTGCTGAGGTTAGTGGAATCTTCTGGGACACTTTCAAAGATAAAATGAGGAAAGATTGTGGCAATTGGAACAACAATTTGTTTTGAGAAAGATTACCAAACCCCAATTGCAAGAATACAGTGAATTCATTGCATAAATCTCATGTTAACGATTTTTTCGTACTGAATTTAAATTCTCTTTGTTATACGTAGTGTTTCTGTTACCTTATCTTATTGCCAATCAATTTTTGTGTTTCTTTGGGGGCTAGGTAATACGATTCATGCATGAGGAAAAAAAAAATAAATAAATAAAAAAACTCAAGCATGAATTTGTTTTATGAAACTCTATTTTATGATTTGAATTACATTAACTTGTAAAATAAAAATTATTGGATAAAAAAAGCGTTTAATATCAAAAGTTTAATCCTTATTTAATAGTTATTATTATGTAATTTAATATGATATAAATTATACGACACTTTTTAATTGTTTTATCGACATTGTATTATATCATTACATAAGTACTAGATGAGAAATTTCCACAAAAGAAGACTGAAGAACGTTACTAGTGTAAAACCATGAAAATCGATGGGCATAATTGATGGCGGAATTCTTAGCAGGCAACTTTGAAATTGCAGGCTGGTAGCTGTCGTCTTTGCCATTATAAATTCCTGACTGAATTGCATCCATAGTTTCTTTGCATTTCCACGGTGTATTAATGACAGGCTCCTCCACTCCACATCATTCTTTTGTGTCATTGAATGAGTTTAATCTTTTATATTAAAGGGTCTTAGTTCAAATCTTAAAAGAGATAGGTGAGATATGGAAAAAGCATAAGATTTTCTTTATTATATAATTATTTTTTAATATACTGAACTATCAGCTCCTTTATTTTTGTTTAGTTTGGCTAGTCACATGTTTTAAGTTAGTTTATGCAAACTACTACCTTCTAATTTGATTGTAAACATGCATTTAGTTGTGCATATATTGATATGGCCCATTTAGGGTCTTTGCTTTTTTTTATTAAATTTATTTCTTATCTATTTGTTAACTTTATTTGAATTGAATATCGTAATTGAGGTGATTTTATTACTAATATGAAATGCTTTTACATTCTTATAACAAAAGTTTGAATCTATGTTTCTCTTCTAATTATCTTTTCTCCACAAACTTGAACCACTTGATCTACTATATTAAAAAAAAAAAATCTCTTTATTTGCTTTTTTCCCTTCTAATACTAATATTTATTCACACGAAAAAAAAGGAAAAAATTATATCACTTGGATCATACTATATAGTTTTACCAAATAAATATGATGTATTTATGTTGCCAACCAGGGCTAAAACCAATTTTTAGCCCCTCACTTTATAAAAATTAGTAAATTTTAACCTCTAACCTTATAATATAACATTTTTTGCCTTTTTACCTTACAAAGTTGTAAGTTTTAACCCATCACCTTATATTATGATATTTTTAGCATCTTATATGTACGAATTGAAGAAAATAACCCTTATTTAACATCAAATTATAATATTCTATTCATTCTGTTAGCTGATTGTCAATTATGTTAGTTGATTGTTAGCATCCGTTACCATTTTGTTAATGAAACTAACAAATTAAATTGAATTTAAATTTCATGTATTTTTATAACAGAATGCTAACGATTGTTAACGGTCAATTAACAGAAATAACAAAACGTTATAACTTGATATTAGGTAAATGTTATTTTCTTTAATTCATATCGATAAGGGTCTAAAAGTATCATAATATAAGGTAAGAGGTTAAAATCTACTAATTTTGTAAGGTAAGGAGTTAAAACTTATCAACTTTATAAGATAAAGGGTTAAACTGTTATGTTATAAAATGAGGTATTAAAACCTACCAATTTTGTAAGGTGAGAGACTAAATGTTGGTTTTTGCCACCAACCAATAACTCTGTGGATTATTTTCACAAAAGGGAAAAAGACTCTGTTGACCTTGAGTATGGGCTTAACTAACCAACAACAGAAACGTTCTTACAACGACTTATGTTAATAATATTGCGAAAGTTGTTGCAGAGGCTATGGAAACAAAATAAATATTTCCTTCAAATAGAATGACACACCAAGCAACACTTCCCAGTCAAAGAATCCAAATTCGTTGCGTTTGAATAAGAACATCAATTTTATTTTTGTCAATAATAAAGACAATAATAAAAGACAAGATTGCCTTCAAAAGTCATGATTCAAAGTGGAAACATGAGTTATGTGATATACAAAGTGATTCTTCGTATAAAATGGTATGTAAAGCTGGAAATTTTGACAAAAGTTCTTGAATTTATTTTAGATTTATAATTATACATCTAAACTTTTATTAAAATAAATAAACTTCTAAATTTGATAATTTAGATAATTTAATCTTTTTTATTTACAATGGACTCAATACCTATTTTTAACACATCATTACCTATGTTGTTTTTGTTTGCGCAAATAAAATACAAATGGGCATTAAATTAATTATAAACAAAAAAAAAAAACTTATATTACCTAAATTATCAAGTTTAAAAACTTATTCATTTCAATAACAAAAAATTTTTACATAATCACTTGATAGTTTAAAGTAAAAAGGTTTTATACGAGTTTTTCCTTCTGATTTTAGTTCTTCAAAGCTTGGCCTCTCGCAATTTTCATCAGCATGAGAAAACAATGGTCCCCAAATTCAATTGATGACAAGAACATGCAACCTCTACTTTAATCCCAACTTTTTCCCCTCCCTTTTTCCATTCTAGAAATTTCTGGAAATGCAGAATATTTCATACCAAAAGTCCAACGTCCATCATACAACAGAATTCAAATCCCTAAGGAAACGAAAGAGGGACCAATACAGGGAGGGAAAAGTGTATGTATTTTCCTAGGTGCAGCATGGGGACTAGTCTTGTCTCTTCTATCTTTTTGGCCAGAAATAAGATGTAACTTAATCGAATTAGTCATACTTAAATAGACAATAAGGGAGGGCCATCTCAATCAATCGGCACCCCAGGCATCATCTCTCATTTTTTGCCTTGTAACTATTCTATTCCTTCGGGCTTCTTCCTGGTTTCTTAATTCTCTAGACCCAAAAGTTGATGGTAACTTCAGTCCCATACTCTGAGCAATCAGCCTCTGGGCAGTTCTAGCTGATGTCTGTGGCCTTGCGCGAGGAGGTTCAAGATCTGAAAAATGAAAAGCCTATAGTTTGAGCATCATCAAAAGATATTATAAAGTGCATTACTTTATGGTTGAGAGATATGATAAATAATATTTTACCTTTAATATTTCCTAGTGAGATTTCCCTAATGTAATAAATATTTAAAACAAGAGTACTTAATGCAATACGATTTACCTCTTGCTGCAATTGAATGTAAAAGCTCATCATCCCCATCAAGTATGCGTACTGTGAATGGGCACAGAACAGAGTTGCGTGCTTCAAGTGCTGCATTCAAATTTTGAGATCATAAGTCAGTTAAACAATGCAAATAAAAGGTCACATTAAGCACATGCAGGAGGGAAAAGCAAGATGGTAGCAAACTGCTGTAGTTTGGAATTTACCAATTGATGGTGTTCGAAATACTGCAAGAGCTGTTGTATCATTGACCCAGCGAATTACCACTCCATGGTCTCTAAAGCCCTCAAAGAGCTTCTCTAGATCTGTTGTCCTAGTACTTGGTGAAAAGTCAGCCAGAACAAGAACATGACGGGTACCATATTTTGCTGAATTTCACAAGAATAAATTCGCAGGTCAGCAAAAGCCAAAGGGATGTTACTTAAGATACTGCTAATAATGATAAAGAATAAATTTTTTGTAACATATTGGAAATTGGAATGAATATATCATATGCAATAGGAATAAACGAAAATAAAATTGTAAGATAAATTCTGCCACCTGAATCTCATTGTTACTACATTTACTCCAATCCTAAAGAGAAAATCTGCATACATAACACAATTACGAATACTTTTGCATTGACTAGAGGTTCTCTTCAGCATTTACTCAGACAAATGCAAGATAGCAGTACTTTCATCTTTTAAGGCTGCTTGGCATAAATATTCTAATACTCAAGGCTAATGGAAAAAGGACAAAAGCATGAAGGGACTAGTGGTGTAACTTCTTTTTGAGGGATAACTAGCAATTTTCACAGCCTAAATAATGAGATGAAATGAAAAAATGTGAGACAAAAAAAGGGCAGTTTAAGACTTTTAGGTTCACTTAAGATCATCAAAGTAAAACTTCTTACTTGGTCTTCAGCCCTTAGAAGCAATTGATTATAGTTAACTTAAAAATGGACATGCAAATTCAGCAAAATGTTCGCAAAATATACTGTGGATTAAGAGACAGAAAGGCATACGTTGCAGTGATTCTGCCTTTTTCTCTGAACTGAGGCAAGAATCCTCATCCTCTGGGTCATTGGAAAGAGATCTATCAGATAGTCGATCACTATACAGCTCATCCTTATTGTAAGAGAATGTTCCCCTTCCCCGTCGCTTAGGGGCTTGAACTTTGCCATCTTCCAATGAGAGATTTGATACTCCAGGCGAGCACTCCGAGGAAAGTAATTCATTTGGTTCACGATCAGCAATAGCTTCCCAATCTGCAATTTCATACACCATTGTTCAAAACACAATCATCTTAGCAGTAAATCTGAGAAATAAAAAAAATGAAATCAATTTCAACTGCCCATGCTAACAGCAAACAACCGGGTATTTTGTATTTGTACAAGGAGGCTAGGTACTTTAAATCAGTATGATCAGCTCTTGGGAAATGCTTGTATCCATTAAAGTCCTTGGCACATTAGAAAAATGAAATTACTAAAGCTTTTCTACTTCTAAAGTTTTTCTTAGATAACATTCATGCATAAGCAATGGAAAGAATGGAAAATACAGATAAATGCCTTCCCAAGCTAAGCATGAGCTCTAATGAAATATTGAAGCTCGGATATGCATTCCTCAATCAAAAAAGTTGAGAAATAAACCTCTCCTTGCTAATCACAATACAAAATGGAAGCAATTGTTCATAAAGGAGATACAAAGAACAGAGTGATATATAATGGCATAATTTGGCTCCATCATACAAGATAATTCAGAAGAATAAAGCATTGCAAGAAAAACCAACCATCATCTGAAGATGATTTGCAAGGCGAATCCTCTTCAATTGTTTTTGTTGACTTCTCAGGATTCCCTTCAGGAACAAACAATGCAATTATTTCTTAGAACATAATCATAGAATTGAGCAAAATAAATAACATAAAGCACACAAATTTGCTCTAACCGTGACAGATCATGCTACTGCATTATACAGGATGAAAATTGACACGTGAAGAACTCAAATTTCAAAGATGAATAGTAAAAGATACGCACCATCAGGCCGAGGTTTATCGCGCACTGAATTTTTTCCAGCCGAAGCAACGCCTGGGGACAACAAGCAATCTTCCTTCGAATCATTCTTTGTCTCACTGAAATCAAATCCAGTGTGGAAAATCAAAATAAAAGACGAAGAATACATCTTCGAGAGCTTCTCTAAAGCCTTCAAAATCCTCTTTTTTTTTTCTCGGGAACCAAACGGGATAGTAAAAAGATGAAGGACCAGGAAACAATACCGAGAAGACTGAGAGCGTTCTCTGATGAGAGATGCGCGAGTGCGAAGCTCGTCGGACTTGAGAGAGAAACCTATGGAGGAGTAGAGATTGGCCAAGTCGCAGAGAGCAGAAGCCAATTGGAGATCCAACGCCGTCGTTTCGGCGGAGTCGTCACCGACTTGGAGCTTGGAAATTAGGTTCTCGAGGGAGGAGATAGCGCCCTGCGTGTCTCCCGCCGCCACCAGATCCTCCACTGCCTCGCTCCAATTCGCTGCTTCTTCTCCTTCCTCCATCTTTGATTCTCCCTCACGGCTTCTGATTTTCCTAAACTCTGCTGAAACTTGCTTCGTAGTTCCGAGTGGTCACGGCTCGAGGTTTAAAATTTACAAACTATTAGGAAGTGATTTTTGCATAATTTTTTTTGTCTCTTTTTTTTTTTAATTTAGTGTTTTCGATCGGTTTTTTTTATTGCGTGATTTTCGTAATTATATGTATTTATTTATTTAATAATATATAAAAATTATTAAAAAAATAAAAAAATTATTTTTATAACTTCGTCCATGAAAAAAAATATGGGTTTAGATAACA